TTTAACAGAACAACTTCATGCAATACATCAAATGGAAAATATATATTTTTCAACCACTTTGGATGAATCAACTGATGTTACTGACTTGGTGCAGGTTCTAATACTTCATTTGGGTCATAACAGAAGATTTTCTTTGCTACAGAGTTACTCTCTTTGGGCACTCTTGTGAACAGAACGTGGGGAATAGGTATCTTCAACAACTTTCAAGATAAATGTCAAGAAGTTGGACTGAATTTGGTAAATTTAGTGAATGTATATAGAGAAGGTACACCTTCCACGAAAGGAAAACATGAAGGGTTTATTGCACACACAAAAAAGTATTAACAGATCCAGATGCTCTCATTTCATTGTATCTTGAATTAGCAAAATCTCTGTGCCTAAAACTGCTATCCTAAGTGACACTTTGCAACAAGTAAAAGTATTGTTAACTATATTCATGCAAATGCAACATGGCATCATCAGTTTTGTAACGTGCTGAAGTTGAATGATGAGGTATTCAGTGTGAATTTGCTGTATCATTCTGAAGTGCATTGGCTATCACAGGGACAGGTGTTAGCCAAAATTTTCTCTCTGTGAGAACAGATAGTTAAATTTTGTGAGGAACAGAATTAGCAATACAAATTATTGAAAGAAGATTTTTATAGGAATGCTGCATTTCTGTGTGATATGTCAAATCAAAAAAACTAAGTCTGTATATGATGTGGCAAAAAAAAATATACAAGCATTTTGAAAACTATGTTTTCAAAACATCTCTAAATTTCAGATGAACGTTTTCCCCAGTTAGCAAAGATCATTGATGAGCAGGATGATATATGTGAATCATTTGAAGAATGTGTACCTGTTATAGACCTATTAATTGGAGAATATAATGACAAGTTCACTGACTTTGAGAATCATGACATCACACTCAAATTAGCACTTCAGCCTCACCTAGTTGACATCACCAAGTCATCTAAAGAACTACAGATGGAATTGTTTGAGCTTCTCAGTAGATTACATTTAACGTCATTGTTCGATGCTAAAAAAGAGCCAGTTGAAATATGGAGAAATATAGTAGAATACCCACACCTTCAGCAACATGCCTGAAAAATGCTTTCTTGCTTTTCAACCACTTAATACTGAGAATCTACATTCTCCTACTTAACACAAATCAAGAACGCTCTTAAGGTCACAAATTACTGATACCCATCTAGAGGATCAGCTGAAGCTTTGGACCTCCATGCTGCAACCAAATATTCAGATGCTTTCCAACAAAAAGCAGACACAACAAAGTCATTAAAAGGTTAGTTAACTTTAAAATTTTTGAAATTATTAAGTACATAAGTAGTTAGAGTTTTACAAAATACCATACATTTTTAAGTATATCTAATTGAAGTTACTTTCCTTTTTTTGGGGGGGAGGGGACTAGGCAGTGGAGTTAAGTGACTTGCCCAGGGTCACATAGCTAGTAAGAGTCAAGTATCTGAGGCTGGATTTGAACTCAGGTCCTCCTGACTTCAGGGCCTGTGCTCTATCCACTGTGCCACCTAGCTGACCCCTAATTGAAGTTTCTTGAATGCAGTCTTACAGCTAAGTATTAATGCAGTCTTCCAATATGAAGAGGTTTCCCATTCCTACATTAGATCCAGCAAGATCACAGGATATAAAACTAACTCATAAAAGTCATTTGCAATTCTCATTTACTAACAGTTAATATAAAAATGTAATTAAAAAGAGGCAGCAGGTTCTTGGCATGTCAAACCACCATCACCACTATCACCATCACCATCTTGATGACTGTCTCCCCTCAGACCTCAGACTGAAAGAGCCCAAGACCTTGAAGAAAGAGCCTTGGGAGTAGCAATGCTTCCAGTTCAGTGCCAGCAGCCATTGTCTTGGGAAGCTACCTCTTTGGAGATGCACCCTGGCATTTGTTCCTGGAGGTGCTACAGCCATGGCTGTTGAAGACCGAGAAGTGAAAGTTCTTATTACCAGAGTCAAACCTTGGCACTGTTAAAGTATTTCAACCTCAGAAATGAATATGATTTGACATTGGAAATCATATTAAAGAAGAGGCATTAACATCTCCTATATCTCTGCCTCTTAAGGACCGTGGGACTTTTCCATCTGACTTGCTCCTGAATCCATCTTTTTTTGCCCATCAGAATGTGAGCACCTATGGAGAGCAATTTGAAACTATGCCCAAAGGGCTATAAAATTATGCATACCCTTTCAACCCAGCAATGCCACTTTTAGGTCTGTATCCGAAAGAGATCATAAAAACAGGAAAAAGACCCACATATACAAAAAATATTTATAGCAGCTCTTTTTGTGGTGGCAAAGAATTGTAAATTGAGGGGATGCCCATCAAATGGGGCTGAACAAGTTGTGGTATATGAATATAATGGAATACTGTTATGCTATAAGAAATGATGAGCAGCCAGACTTCATTTTTGTTTGTTTGTTGTTTTCTGGTTTTTTTTGGTGAGGCAGTTGGGGTTAAGTGAGTTGCCCAGGGTCACATAGCTAGTAAGTGTTATTTGAACTCAGGTCCTCCTGACTTCAGGGCTGGTGCTCTATCCACTGTGCCACCTAGCTGCCCCAGAGCAGGCAGACTTCAAAAAAAACCTAGAAAGACTTACATGAACAGATGCAGAATGAAATGAGTAGAACCAGGAGAACATTATACACAGTAATAATAGTCACATTGTGCAATGATTGACTTTGATAGACTTAGTTAGCTCTTCTCAGCAATGCAAGGATCTAAGACAACTTCAAAAGACTCACAATGGAAATTGCTAACCACATCCAGAGAAAGAACTCAGGAGTCTGAATGCAGATGGAAGCATACTATTTGCTCTCCTTTTCCTTTGTTGTTTTGTTTTAATGCTTCATTCTCATGGTTTCCTCCCATTAGTTCTAATTGCTTAATATGAATGTATAAGAGGAGCCAATATCACATTGCATGCCATCTTGGGAGGTGAGGGAGAGGAGTGGGAGAAGGAGAAAATTAAAAACTCAAAGTCTTATGGAAGTGAATGCTGAAAACTAAAAATAAGTAAATTTTCAAGAAAAAAAAATAATGTGAGCACCTTGAGAGCAGAAACTATTGCACTTTTTTATTTGTATCCCTAGCTCTTAAAACATTTCTTTGCATTAAGTGCTTTGTAAGTGCTTCTCCCATGAATTCCATGAATTAAAAAAAGAAATCCTATTTTCAGTAATGACAAAAACCATCAAATATTTGAGAATTTAACTAGAAATGCACATGACTTGTCTAAAGACAACTATAATGGGATAGCGACTGAAGGAAAGAAAACAAGAACTAAATGGAGAAATATGTAGCGTTCATGGATGGGGTGGGATTAATATAATAAAAATTACAGTGTACCCACAACTAATCTCTGTATTTAATGAAATTTGGGAAAGGAACTTATTAGCCTGTGACTTCACTGCAGTAGGGAACTCCTTTTGCCTACGCATGTCTACACCTTTTCTACTACTTACAGTCTTAGAGAGAGTTTCCCAGAGAGTTAAGTGACACTTGCCTAGGTTTGTATATCAGAGGTGGGACTTGAACTCAGAAACTGGCTTCTAAGTAGCTTCCTGTCCACTATTCCTCTACTATTCAAGCCAACTCCAGTATTGTCCATAAAGAAAAGGAGGTGTATTCTCATATCTCCTCTTCAGGGTCATGTTTTCATTATAATTGCATAGTGTTCAAGTGCATTTTTGTTCTTTTTCTTTACGTTGTTATATTGTTATACATTGTTATATTCTTTCTGTGTGTTGTTTTCCTGATTCTGCTTAATTAATTTTGCTTCATTTAAAATATTAATACTTTCCATGTTCCCCCCTCTCCTCCCACCACCAGTATTTATATTATTTATTTCTTACTCCACTGTAATATCCCATCAGATTTTTATACCACAGTTGATTTAGACATTTCTCAATTGATGGTCAAAGATTCTAGTTCTTTGTTGCCACACATATTTCGGTATATATGGAACTTTTCCTTTTATCTGTGACCTTCTTGGGAAATAGATCTTGAGTGGTAAAGCTGAGAGACAAATACCTTTCCTGTTCTGCCAGGCTAAGACTATGCGCTTATGCTTTTCTCTGTATTTCCAACACTTAATATAGAGTTCTGTATATAGGAAGCACTCAATACATTTTTTTCAATCTAGCATTTAGTAATCTACTTTATCCTGGCACTGTGCTAGACACTGGGATGGATACAAAGATAAAAATAAAATAATCTTTGCCTTTAAGGAACTTAAATTCCATTTGAGAAAAAAACATGTACATCTGTAAGTATGTATAAAACACATACCAACAAAAAAGTAGTTTGAGAGGAGAAGGCACTGGCTGTCAACTGAGTTTCATTGAATCACTATACTGTGATTTTTTTCTTTCTTTAAAAATGGAAAGATTAGGGCAGCTAGGTGGTGCAGTGGATAGAGCACCAGCCCTAAAGTCAGAAGGACTTGCTTTCAAATCCGGTCTCTGACCAAACATTTGACACTTACTAGCTGTGTGACCCTGCGCAAAATCACTTAACCCCAATTGCCTAAAAAATAAAAAATAAAAAAAATAAATGAAAATGGAAAGATTGAACACTCTCTATGTGTAAAGAAAAAATGGGCATTTTCCAAGAAATGATCTACATTTCTAGATTTTGATCTTGTTGGCAGCTATTCTTGAGAACAAAGTAGGAAGACAAAGACAAAGAAAACAATCCATCATTTCTCCTTGCCCATCTCAAAAACTTTTTCCATTATGTAGTAAATAGATGAATTGTTAAGGCTGCTTATGTAATATAGAATCATCTAGAGATGTTTTATATATTTCAGACTACACTTTAAGTAAATATGCTTTTGTCTAGTTTAAATGAACAATTTAGATATTTCAAGATGATAAACTTTAAAATTAAACCTGCAACCAGGTAATTTTTTGTGACAGAGTATCTTGGTACTTGACATTATTTGTATTATACATTTATAAACATATTTCCATTACAGGAACTGAATTTTGTGCACCGGAGCTATGCACTGAACACCAGTTTGAATGTAAGTACAAAAATCCATATTTTTTGACATCTAGATTTATAATGTTAAAATGATACATATATTTCAGCATCAATTAATATAGCAAGTTACTTCTATGATCACTCCATGCTTAGGTCTTTTTTTAATTTAATATTTTATTTTTCCCCTAATTACATGTAAACAATTTTTAACATTCTTTTTGAAAAATTTTGAGTTTTAAATCCTCTCCGTCCTCTCCTCCCTCATTGAGAAGGCAAACAATTTGATATAGATATTAGGCATGTTGTGAAAGAAAGCCCAGACAAAAAGAAAAAAAAAACCCTAAGGAAAATCAAATTTTAAAAAGTATGCATTGATATGTATTCAGACTCCATCAGTTCTTTCTCTGGAGGTGGATAGCATTTTTTATCTTAAGTCCTTTGGAATAATCTTGGGTCATTGTTCCGTACTCATGTCTTGAGGAAAATCTGAATTCTTAGATTGTTAAGAAATAAAATATTCAGCCCAGTTTGCTCCAAGATACGTATCTTCCCTGTCCATAGCAGAGTGTTCTACTTTAAACCTGGGGCTCTTGTTCATTTTCATAGCTTTTATGTTATAGGGAATTTTCTCTATTTTGTCCTTGTGCTACCATATAACTCTGGTTCTCTAAGTCTTATCACAGCTTTCATCATGGAAATTCCAGAGGACTATGACAAAGGTGTGTTGTGAGGAAAACCTTATATTATGAAGGGCTATATATAAAAGAGAATTGTTTGTTATTATTTTTAAATGTATTGTTTTATGTGTGATTTGGCAGGATGTTTTACATTGTTTCTGACGAAAGTCAGTAAAATTTTTCTGCTAACAGAGTAATTCTTCATTTTGTCTAGGGCTAAATAGGAGAGTTTGGAGTCAGTGGAAGAAGAGTACCCTTGCTTTTGTTACAGGGAGAACGGATTGCTTGCTTAGTCTTAAGGACTCTCTCCAAACATTCTTGTAGTGTAGGATACCCTTTAAAGTGGAGTTATTGGGGCAGCTAGGTGGCTCAGTGGATAGAGCTCTGGCCTTGGAATCAGGAGGACCTGAGTTCAAATCCACCCTCAGACACTTGACATTTACTAGCTGTGTGACCCTGGGCAAGTCACTTAACCCCAATTGCCTCACCAAAAAAAATAAATAAAATAAAGTGGAGGGATTTATTTTTCAGTTAAAAAAGGACAAACCCTTTCAGAATTTTTGTTTACTTTCTGAGTTTAAACTTACTTTATTGATTGATCACATAACTGAATGCAGAAGAAATTGTCATAGGGGGAAAATAATGGATATATGTCAGTCAAATGTGATTTTTTTTTTAAGGCAGTTGGGGTTAAGTGACTTGCCCAGGGTCACACAGCTAGTAAGTATCAAGTGTTTGGTCTGAGGCTCGGGATCAAATGTGATATCTTGTAGTTGTCTTAAGTTCTGGGTCTGGCACCCAGTGGCCAAGGAAGTTTTTGGTATTAAGTGTGATATTACTTGTCTCCTTGATTACAGTTCGGAGAATCTTAAAAATACATTTCTTCCTTAGGTATATTTATATATGTTAATTTATAAAATGATTTAGAATTATTATTTATGTAATTTTTACTAAATTCTGTCCTATTAGGAAGTAGTCATAGTCAGTGCCAAAAGGACGCCTATTGGATCTTTTCTAGGATCTCTTTCCTCACTTGCAGCTACTAAACTTGGTTCCATAGCAATTCAAGGAGCCATTGAAGCAGCAGGTATGTAGCTGTTCTGTGCTGGGGTCAGGGGGTGGGTAATGGAGGGAGTTTGTGTCATAGTGGATTGACTACTGAGTATAAAGTAAGAAGTAAGTAATGAAGTAGGGAGTTAAAATCTAACCTCAGACACTTGCTAGCTGTGTGACTAGGCAAATCACTTAACTTTTGTCTGCCTTAGTTTCCTCAGCTGTAACATGGGGATAACAATTACACCTACCTCACAGGGTTGTTGTAAGGATCAAATGAAGTCATATTTGTAAAGTACTGAGCACAGTGTCTGGTTACATAGTTAGTGCTTAATAAATATGTATGCCCCTTATTTCCTCCCCTCCCTTCCCTTAATAAATATTCAGTCCTTCCTAAATACATAATGCTCTGCCGGGTACTATTAGGAAAAAAGGAAGTAATGAAATGCAGTCTGTCTCTCTAGGATTCATAAGCTAGATATGTACAAAATATTAAATAACAAGACAATATATAATAAATGCTGCATGATATTGTTGTAACAGGAACATTTAGATAGAGTACAGTTAGATAGGAAAGGATCTAGAGGGTGACTCAGACATCCGTTTCATGGAGTCACTGAAGGAAGAGAAGAGCAAGTAAGTCTAGGCAGCTGGGATCATAAACCTACACCAGGAGGCTGAGGAACAAAGGCCAAAGACTCTGGAACATTGGATGGAGGCAGTGATTCTCACAACATCATCTTCCAGCCCAAGACAATCTGGATGGTTGACAGGAGAGGTCTGTTGTGCCAGGCTGAAAGAGGAGCGCAGTTTAGTGTGGACCACCCCCAGGACAGACTGGACCTCAGCAAACCCGGAGAAGGCCTCAGGGATTGAATCAAGGGGAGCTGTGGCAGTTTCCAGACTTCTCAACCCACGAACGCCAAAGACAGTTTTTAGAAGTTCAGTGGGAAAGGTCTGTCAGACCTGAGTGAGAGAGAAGCACGGTCCAGCCCTGGCCCTAGCATAGCCCCAGGCTGGCAGCCATAGCAGCAGTAGCTGCTCCTGGAGCTCTCAGCTTACACACAGTAAGGGGATTGAACAACTGATCAGAAGGAGATTACAGGGATCTCCTTGCTGGTACTGAGGCAGGATTCTTTTGCTTTGCCCATACTTGGATCTGGGATGCAGGCCTGAGTGGCAGTCCTGTCATAAGGAGGAGCACTGGCACAGAGCTTGTGGCAGCATTGGGGAGGGAACCCTCCTCGCAGTTCCAGGGCAGAAAAGAGTGCTTGTGGTCACTCACAGACCAGAGCACAAGGGTAAGATTAAACACCTCTCCTTAGATCATACCACCTTGGAAGAACTGAAAACAGGTCCCTAGAAGTAACTCTGATAATAGCTGCACAAAACTCTGAAGCTTGGGACAGTACAACCTCTACACTGGAAGCAGAGCCTACCCAAGCAAAGAGTTAAAAAGTCAAGTAATTGGCTGGAAAGATGAGCAAACAGTGCCAAAAAGCATCAGAAGGCAACAAAGCCAAAGCTCCTACATTCAAAGCCTCCGAGAATAACAGGAATTTGTCTCAGGTCATAGAAGAGCTCAAAAAGGATTTTGAGAAGCAAGTAAAGGAAGTAGAGGAAAAATTGGGAAGAGAAATGAGAGTGATGCAAGAAAATCATGAAAAACAAGTCAACAGCTTGCTAAAGGAGACCCAAAAAAATACTGAAGAAAATAACACCTTAAAAAATAGCCTAACCCAAATGGCAAAAGAGGTCCAAAAAGCCAATGAGGAGAAAAATGCCCTAAAAAGCAAAATTGGCTAAATGGAAAAGGAAGTCCAAAAGATTACTGAGGAAAATACTTCCTTAAAAATTAGAATGGAGCAATTGGAAGCTAGTGACTTAATGAGAAATCAAGACACTGTAAAACAAATCCAAAAGAATGAAAAATTAGAAAACAATGTGAAATATCTCATTGGAAGAACAGCTGACCTGGAAAATAGATCCAGGAGAGAGAATTTAAAAATTATTGTACTATCTGAAAGCCATGATCAAAAAAAGAGCCTAGATATCATCTTTCAAGAAATTATCAAGGAAAACTGCCTTGATATTTTAGAACCAGAGGGCAAAATAGAAATTGAAAGAATCCACAGATCTCCTCCTGAAAGAGGAAAACTCCTAGGAATATTGTAGCCAAATTCCAGAGTTCCCAGTTCAAGGAGAAAATATTACAAGCTGCCAGAAAAAAACAATTTAAGTACTGTGGAACCACAATCAGGATAACACAAGATTTAGCAGCTTCTACATTAAAGGACTTCAGGGCATGGAATATAATATTCCAGAGGGCAAAGGAGATAGGATTACAACCAAGAATCACCTACCCAGCAAAACTGAGTATGATCCTTCAGAGTAAAAAATGGTCATTCAGTGAAATAGAGGACTTTCAAGCATTCTTGATGAAAAGACCAGAGCTGAATAGAAAATTTGACTTTCAAATACAAGACTCAAGTGGAACATGAAGAGGTAAACAGGAAAGAGAAATCGTAAGAGACTTATTAAGGTTGAACTGTTTACATTCCTGCATGGAAAGATGATATTTATAATCCATGAGACCTTTGTCAGTATTAGGGTAGTTGGAGGAAAAAAATTATATGTATGTAGATAGATAGATAGATAGATAGAGGGCACAGTGTGAGTTGAAGATTAAGGGGTCATATCTGGAGAATAAAATGAAGGGATGAGAGAGGATTATACTCGGAGAAGAAGAAAGGGAGAGGTAAATTATCTCACAAAAAAAAAACAGAAAAGAAAAGTCTCTTACACTGGAGGGGAAACGGGGGAAGGTGAGAGGGAATGAGTGAATCTTATTCTCATAGGATTTGGCTTAAGGAGGGAATAACATACACATTCAGTTGGGTATGGAAATCTGTCTTACCGTACAGGAAAATAGGAGGAGAAGGGGACAAGAGAGCAGGGGGGATGATAGAGAGGAGGGCAGATTGGGAAAGGGGATAATCAGAAGCAAACACTTCTGAGGAGGGACAGGGTCAAAAGAAAAAATAGAATAAATGGGAGGGCAGAATAGGATTAAGGGAAATAGAGTTAGTTTTTCACAACATGTCTACTATGGAAGTGTTTTGCATAACTGCACATGTATAACCTATATTGAGTTGCTTGCTTTTTCAATGAGGATGCATGGGGAGGGAGAAAGGGAGAAAATTTGAAACCTAAAGTTTTAAAAACATATTTTTAAAAAAGTTTTCACATGCTACTGGGAAATAAGAAATACAGGAAACAGGGTATAGAAGTCTATCCTGCCCTACAGGAAAATAGAAGGGGAAGGGGAATATGAGAAGGGGGGAGAGATAGAAGAGAGGACAGACTAGGGGAAGGATGTTCATAATGCATGCCATCTTGGGGTGGGGGAGGGGTGAGATGGGGTGAAAATTTGGAACTCAAAATCTTGTGGAAGTAAATATTGCAAACTAAAAATAAATAAATTTATATTTAATGAAAATAAATAAATAAAGGAAAAAAAAGGAGACCCAAAAAATTCTGAAGAGAATAACACCTTAAAAAATAGACTAGACCAAATAGCAGAAGAGGTCCAAAAAGCCAATGAGGAGAAGAATGCCTTAAAAAGCAGAATTGGCCAGATGAAAAAGGAAGTCCAAAACCTCACTGAGGAAAATACTTCCTTAAAAATTAGAATGGAGCAATTGGAAGCTAATTGAGAAATTAGCTATGAGAAATCAAGAAACAATAAAACAAAACCAAAGAATGAAAAATGGAAGACAGTGTGAAATATCTCATTGGAAAAACAAATGGGCTGGAAAAGAGATCCAGGAGAGATCATTTAAAAATTATTGGACTATCTGAAAACCACGATCAAAAAAAGAGCCTAGACATCATCTTTCAAGAAATTATCAAGGAAAACTGCCCCGATATTCTAGAACCAGAGAGTAAGATAGAAATTGAAAGAATCCACGGATTCCTCCTGAATGAGATCCCAAAAGGAAAACTCCCAGGAATTCCAGAGTTCCCAGGTCAAGGAGAAAATATTGCAGGCAGCCAAAAAGAAACAATTCAAGTGTTGTCGAAACACAATCAGGAAACACAAGATTTAACAGCTTCTATGTTAAGGGACTGGAGGGCTTGGAATATGATGTTCCAGAGGTCAGAGGAGCTAGGATTAAAACTAAGAATCAGCTACCCAGCAAAACTTAGGTATAATCAATAAGGGGAAAAACTGACATTCAGTGACCTAGAGGAATTTAATGTGTTCTTGAGAAAAAAACAGAGCTAGATAGAAAAATTGACTTTCAAATACAAGACTCAGGAGAAGCATGAAAAGGTAAACAGGGAAGTAGAATCATAGGGGACTTACTAAAGTTGAACTGTTTACATTCCTATGTGGAAGGATGATATTTGTAACTCACGAGACCTTTCTCAGTATTAGGGTAGTTGGAGGGAATATATATAGACAGAGAGGGCACAGGATGAGTTGAATATGAAGGGATGATATCTAAAAAGTAAAATTAAGGGGTGAGAGAGGATTGTACTGGGAGAAGTAGAAAGAGAGAGGTAGAATGGGGTAAATTATCTCACATAAAAGGCAAGAAAAAGCTTTTATAGTAGAGGGAAAGAGGCGGAAGGTGAGAGGGAATGAGTGAACTTTACTCTCATTGAATTTGGCTGGAGGAGGGAATAACATATGCACTCAGTTGGGTATAGAAATCTATCTTACCCTACAGGAAAGTAGTGGGGGAGGGGATAAGAGAGGGAGAGATGATAGAAGGGAGGGGATAATCAGAAGCAAACACTTTTGAGGAGGGACAGGGACAAAGGAGAGAATAGAATAAATGGAAGGTGGGATAGGATGGAGGGAAATAGAGTTATTCTTTCATAACATGACTGTTATGGAAGTGTTTTGCATGACTACGTATATGTAACCTGTATCTAATTGCTTGCTTTCTCAGTGAGGGGAAGGAAGAGGGGAGAGAATGTGAAAATCAGAGTTTTAAAAACGAATTGTTTCTTTGTGCAACTGGGAAATAAAATGTACAAGTAGTGGGGTATAGAAATCTGTCTTACCCTATAGGAAAATAGAAGGGAAAGGGAATAAGAGAAGGGAAGGGTAATAGAAGCGAGAGCAGATTTGGGGAAGGGGCAATCAGAATGCATGGCATACTGGGGTGGGAGGAAGGGAGGAAGAAATTTTGGAACTCAAAATCTTGTGGAAGTGAATGTTGAAAACTAAAAATAAATCAATTGGAAAAAAAGGAAAGTAATAAAATATTTAAATTAATTAAGCCTCTTTTATTTTTATGAAGATGTGTTAGGCTACTTTGGGGACAAAACTTGAAACTGAACAAATGAGAAATAGTACTAAGAACAAATGGTGCCAAGTGCTTCATTATGTGATGTGGTAATTATTCATTGACTTGTATAAAATGCTGACATGCTAATTGTTATTGCTTTAAGGAATACCCAAGGAAGAAATCAAAGAAGCATATATGGGCAATGTTCTGCAGGGGGGTGAAGGACAAGCACCAGCCAGGCAGGCTGTGCTTGGAGCAGGTATGATTAGTTTTTTGGTTACTTTTCCTAGCCTTTCTTAAGTTACTTTTCGTGAGAAGGCAATTGGTAAAGTGGACAAAGCTGTCCTCAGAGACAGGAAGACCTGTTTTCAAGTGCCATATCTGCCACATACTTTTTGTGAGAGCCTGCATAAGTCACTCAAACTCTTAGGGCTATAAGCAGCTCTCCAAGACTGCAACTTGTGGAACGGTTGGCAGTCTTTGTTTGTAGAGGGTATTTCTTACAGTAAGAAAATCATGGTCTCGTTTGTTTTTTTTTAAAGCTCTGAAGTTTAGAAGATCTTAAAATTGCAATGAGGCAAGCTGTTGTCTAAATGTATATTTGTAACATAATAGTTCATTATAATCTGATGGAATATTGTTGGTGAGGTATTATGGTATAATGAAAAAGAAAAGAATGTGGAACTAGGAATGAAGAATCCTGCTTTTTAGTCCTGTCTGTGCTCCAGGTTTTCTGTGTGACGTTAGGCTATATGTGATTCAGCCTCTCTGGGCTTCAGTTCCATTCTGTCTATAATGAGGAATTTGGATTAGATATTCTTGGGGGTGTGTGGGGTGTTTGTTCTGTAGTAGACTGCTTAGTTTATCTACAACTAAAATTGTACCCTGGCAGTGCTGGAAGTACAGCTTTATTCCACTTAGATAATTGGTAGTAATATTTAATTGGGAAAATATATCTGAGTGATTTGGGAGAATGATTTAATTATCCTTATTCTAGGTTTACCTATCTCCGTTCCATGCACCACTGTCAATAAAGTTTGTGCATCAGGAATGAAATCTATTATGATGGCAGCTCAGAACCTAATGTGTGGCCATCAGGTAAGAGGAGTGCTAACTTTTTTATTTCATAATTAAAATAGCAGAGGCATCAGAGTGAGAATCTGCTATTAATACAGCAGAGCTGGCATTAGAGTCGGAAAACCATCTGTGTGAGCCTGGGCAAAGCATTTAGCCTCTCTATGCCCCAGACAACCCTATCGATTTTACATTGCAGAGTAATATCCCGTGACATTGGTAGAGTGCATTTCCTCACCTGGGAATTCTGTATACCAATGCAGTCACAGGTCGAGGTACAAAAATGAGAGTACACTATAGCTGCTGTTGAAAGATGGTGAACATTTAAAACTCTTATAAACAAATCCATTTGCCAAGACTGAACAAGATTCTCCAGTACAGAGGTCCCTTGGCTTCCAGAGTAGTGCTTTTTCTACCACAGTGTTACCGCCTTTCCCAGACTCACACAGTCAGTATGTGTCAGGCAGGACTGGAACCTGGGTGGTACTGAGGGTTCAAGGCCAGTTTTTTATGTTTTCTGCCATGGCTGCCTTTGTACAAGGAATTTAATGACTGACCTCTCCTTTGTGTAACTGGTTAATTATCTATGACTTTGAGAAAAATTTGCCAGGTATTTTTTTTATATAGGTAATTGATGTATGATTTTATATACTTTCCCCCCTACATTTTCCAAATACCTTTATTGCTTTACTTAGTGTATGCCTCCTTAACTGCTCCTCCTTCTCCTCTTTCTTTTTTTTGTTAGAGTGCCAAAGACCTTGGAACTCCTGGGAATATGTTGTCTGGAATTTACATTTGTGTTTCTAGTTGCTTCCAAGGTCCATGCTATAAGTTTCTGACCACTCTGGGACTTTCTTGTGGGAGCTCTCCACTCTTTCTTTTAAAAATTTTTTTGTGATTACTTTATTCATTTATTTTAAAATTTCCCCCAGTTACATATAAAAGCAATTTTTAACATTTGTTTTTTAAAATTTTGAGTTCCAAATTCTCTCCTTTCCTCCCTCCTCACCCCCGCTTCCATTGAGAAGGCAAGCAGTTTGATATAGGTTATATGAAAAACATATCCGTAATAGTCATGTTATGAAAGAAAACATAGACAAAAAAAAAATTCAAAAAAATTTTTTTAAAAAGTATGTTTCCATCTTTATTCAGACACCATCAGTTCTTTCTCTTGAGATGGATAGCATTTTTCATTATAAGTCCTTCAGAGTTGTCTTGGATCATTGTATTACTGAGAATAGCCAAGTCATTCACAGCTGATCATCTTATAGTAATGCGGTTACTTTGTACACAGTACATTTCACTTTGCATCAGCCCATGCAGGTCTTCCCAGGTTTTTCTGAGAGCACCCTGATCATCATTTTTTATAGTGCAATAGTACTAATTCCATCATAATTATATACCATAACTTGTTCAGCCATTCCCCAGTTAATGGACATCTTCTCAATTTCGAATTCTTTGCCCCCCAGAAATGAACTACTATAAAAAATTTTGTACATATAGGCCCTTTCACCCCCATTTTAAAAATCTCTTTTGAGATACAATACAATGGTATTGCTCGGTCAGAGGGTATACATGGTTTTATAGCCCTTTAAATATAGTTACAAATCACTCTATAGAATGGTTGAATCAGTTCACAACTCCACCAACAGTGTATTAAGTCTAACTTTCCCTACATCCTCCCTCCAGCATTTGTCATTTACCTTTTCTGTCCTATTAGCCAATCTAACCAGGTATGAGGTAGTACCTCAGAATTGTTGTAATTCGCATTTCTCTAATCAATAGTGAGTTAGAGTATTTTTTTCACATGGCTATAGATAGCTTTGATTATTTCACCTGAAAACTGATCCTATCTTTTGATCATTTATCAATTGGGGAATGGCTCTTATTTTTTTTATAAATTTGACTCAGTTCTCTATATGTTTGAAAAATGAGGCCTTTATTGGAGAAACTTGCTCCAAAATTTTTTTCACAGTTACTGTTGCTAGCTACATTTCCCTCCATTCTATCCCTTACCTCCCCCTGGTTCTGTTCTCTCTCTCCTTTCATTCTGTCCCTCCTCAAAAATGTTTGGCTTCGACGACCCCACTTCCAATCTGCCCTCCCTTCTATCACAGCCCCCTTGTCTTATCCCCTTTCCCTCCTGCTTTCCTATAGGGTGAGATAGATTTCTGTACCCAAATGAGTGTGTATGTTAATTCTGTCTTTGAGCCAATTTTGATGGAAATAAAGTTCACTCATTTCCCCCCCTTCTCCTCCACTATAATAGCTTTTTCTTGCTTCTTTTATGTGAGATAATTTACCTCAGTCTACCTCTCCCTTTTTCTTTTTCCCAGTAAATCCCTCTCTTACCCCTTCCTTTTATTTTCTAGATATCATCCCTTCATATTCAACTCACACCTGTACCCTCTGATTATATATACTCCTTCTAACTACCCTAATAATGAGAAAGGTCTTGAGTTACAAATATCACCTTCCCATATAGAAATATAAACAGTTTAACCTTGTTAAGTCCCTTATGATTTCCCTTTCCTATTTACCTTTTTATTCTTCTCTTGAGTCTTGCATTTGAAAGTCAAATTTTCTATTCAGCTCTAATCGTTTCATCAAGAATGCATTAAATTCCTCTACATCATTGAATGTCAATTTTTTACCCTCATTGATTACACTCATTTTTGCAGGGTAGGTGATTCTTGGTTTTAATTCTAGCTCTTTTGACGTCCAGAATATCCTTTAATGCCCCCTAATCCTTTAATGTAGAAACTACTAGATCTTGTGTAATCTTGGCTGTGGCTCCATATACTTGAATTGTTTCTTTCTGGCTGCTTGCAATATTTTCTCCTTGACCTGGTAATTCTGGAATTTGGCTATAATATTCCTGGAAGTTTTCATTTTTGGATCTCTTTCAGGGGGTGATCAGTGGATTCTTACAATGACTCTTTTACCCTCTGGTTCTAAGATGTCAGGGCAGTTTTCCTTGATAATTGCTTGAAAGATGGTGTCTAGGCTTTTTTCTTTTTTCTTTTTTTTTTTTTGATCATGGCTTTCAGGTAGTCCAGTAATTTTTAAATTATCTCTCCTGGATCTATTTTCCAGGTCATTTGTTTTTCCAGTGAGATATTTCACATTGTCTTCCACTTTTTCATTCTTTGGTTTTATTTTATTGTTTCTTGATTTCTTATAAAGTCATTAGCTTCCATTTGCTCCATTCTAATTTTTTTCTGTGTTACATTACATTTTTATTTATTTTGTTAAAGATTTTATAATTACATTTTTTCTTATTAATTTATTTATTTTTAGTTTTCAACATCCACTTCCACAAGATTTTGAGTTCTAAGTTTTCTCCCCTTCTTGCCCCTCCCCTCACCCCAAGATGGTGTACATTCTGAATACCACTTCCCCCAGTCTCTCCTCTCTTCTATCACTTCCCCCTTCTCTTATCCCCTTCCCCTTCTATTTTCCTGTAGGGCAGGATAGACTTCTGTACCCTATTTCTTCTGTATCTTATTTCCCAGTTGCATGTAAAAAGAATTTTTAACATTTGCTTTTAAAACTTTGGGTTCCACATTGTCTCCCTTCCTCCCTCCTCACCCATCCTCATTGAGAAGGCAGGCAACTCGATACAGGTCATACATGTGTAGTTATGCAAAACACTTCCATAGTAGTCATGTTGTGGAAAATTGACTATATTTCCCTTCATTCTATCCTGGCCACTGCTCCCCCCCGCCCGTTTATTCTATTCTTTCTTTGACCCTCTCACACCTTCTCGGAAGTATTTGCTTCTGATTAGCCCCTCCCCCAATCTGCCCTCCACCCACTCTCACCCCTTACTCTCCCTGTTTTCCTGTTCCATACTCAATTGAGTGTGTGTTATTCCCTCTTTAAGCCAAATCTAGTAAAAGTAAGATTCACTCATTCCCTCTCACCATCCCCCACTTCCCCTCCACTGTAAAAGCTTTTCCTTGTTTTTTTTTTTTTATGTGAGATAATTTACCCCATTCTACCTCTCCCTTTCTTGTTCTCCCGGTCTAATCCTCACTCACCCTTTATTGTTTAGATATCACCCCTTCATCTTCAACTCACCCTGTACCTTCTGTCTTATCTATGCATGTTTTTTCCCTCCAACTATCCTAATATTGACAAAGGTCTCATGAGTTACAAGTATCACCTTTCTAAGTAGGAATGTAAACAGTTCAGTTTTAATATATCCCTTATGATTTCTCTTTCCTGTTTACCTTTTTTTTGGGGGGGGGTTAGGCAGTGGGGTTAAGTGACTTGCCCAGGGTCACACAGTAAGTGTTACATGTCTGAGGCTGGATTCAAATTCAGGTCCTCCTGAATCCAGGGCTGGTGCTCTATCCACTGCACCACTTAGCTGCCCCATAAATTTCCCTTTTTTTTTTTTTTGCTAGGCAGTGGGGTTAAGTGACTTGCCTAGGGTCACACAGCTAGTAAGTGCCAAATGTCTGAGGCTAGATTTGAACTTAGCTCCTCCTGACTCCAGGGACAGTGGTCTATCCACTGTGCCACCTAGCTGCCCTCTTGTTTGCCTTTTCATGCCTCTCTTGAGTCTTGTATTTGAAAGTCAGATTTTCTATTCAGCTCAGGTCTTTTCATCAAGAATGCTTGAAAGTCCTCTATTTTATTGAATGTCAACTTTTTCCTGTGAAGGATTATACTCAGTTTTGCTGGTAGGTGATTCTTAGTTTTAATCCTAGCTCCTTTGACCTGCAGAATATTATATTCCAATCCCTCTGGTCCCTTAATGTAGAAGCTGCTAAATCTCGTGTTATCCTGGTTGTGTTTCCAAAATACTTGAATTGTTTCTTTCTGGCTGCTTGTAATATTTTCTCCTTGACCTGGGAACTCTGGAATTTGGCTATAATATTCCTAGGAGTTTTCCTTTTGGGATCTCTTTCAGGAGGGATTAGTGGATTCTTTCAATTTCTATTTTACCCTCTGGTTCTAGAATATTGGGGCAGTTTTCCTTGATAATTTCTTGAAAGATGGCGTCTAGGCTTTTTTCTTTTTTCCTTTTTTTTTTTGATCATGGCTTTCAGGTAGTCCAGTAATTTTTAAATTATCTCTCCTGGATCTATTTTCCAGGTTAGTTGTTTTTCCAATGAGATATTTCATACTCTTCTATTTTTTCATTCTTTTGATTTTGTTTTACAATGTCTTGATTTCTCATTAGGTCACTAGCTTCCAATTGCTCCATTCTAATTTTTAAGGAAGTATTTTCTTCAGTGAGCTTTTGGACTTCCTTTTCCATCTGGCCAATTCTGCTTTTTAAGGCATTCTTCTCCTCATTGGCTTTTTGAACCTCTTTTGCTATTTGGTCTAGTCTATTTTTTAAGGTATTATTCTCTTCAGTATTTTTTTGAGTCTCCTTTAGCAAGCTGCTGAGTTGTTTTTCATGATTTTCTTGTATCACTCTCATTTCTCTTCCCATTTTTCCTGTACTTCTCTTACTTGCTTCTCAGAATCCTTTTTGAGCTCTTCCATGGCCTGGGACTGATTCATATTTTTATTGGAGGCTTTGGATGTAGGAGCTTTAGCTTTGTTGTCTTCTTCTGTTTGTATGTTTTGATCTTTTTTGTCACCAAAGTAAGATTCTGTAGTCTGACTTTTTTTGACCTGTTTGTTCATTTTCCCAGCCAGTTACTTGAGTTTTAAACTCTTTGTTAAGGTAGGGGTCTGCTTCCAGTGTGGACAATGTACTGTCCCAAGCTTCAGGGTTTTATGCAGCTGTTTTCAGAGATGCTTCTAGGGACCTGTAAATTTCCAGTTCTTCCAAAGTGGTACAATGAAGTGTTAGGTGTTTACTCCTTTCCTGTCTTGGGCTCTGGTATATGAGTGACCAGAAGCACTCTTTTCTGCCTTGGAACTGTGAGAAGGAGTTTCTCTCCACAGCCACTATAAGCTCTACCATGCCAGCACTCCCCCTCACTTCCAGGACCAATGCCCAGAACTGTGACTCAGATCCAAGCAGGGGCAAAGCAAGAGAATGCTTGCCTCAGTGCCGGCAAGGAGATCCCTGCAATCTGCCTCTGTCTGATCAGCTGCTGTCTGAGGGCCGAGAGCTCCAGAAGTAGCCATTGTCCTGGGGGTGCGCCAGGACTGGGGCCAGATGAAGCTCCTCTCTCACCATGGGACAGACCTTTCCTACTGACCTTCCAAGTTGTCTTTGGTGTTTGTGAGTTGAGAAGTTGGGAAACTGCCATGACTGCCCGTGATTCAGTCCCCTGAGGCATACTTCAGGTTTGCTGAGGCCTGTTCTTTGCCTGCATGTCCGCTCTGAACTGTGTTCCTCTCCCATCCTGGTGCAACAGATCTTTCGAATCAACCATTCATGTTGTCTTGGGCTGGAATTTTGTTTCCCTCTATCTTTTTGTGGGTTCTGCTGCTGTAGAATTTGTTTAGAGCCATTTTTATGGGTATTTGAAGGAGTTTGGGGGACAGCTCAAGCAGGTGACTGCTTTTACTCCACCATCTTGGCTCTGCTCCATTCTAATTTTTAAGGAATTAATTTCTTCAGTGAGCTTTTGGACCTCCTTTTCCATTTGGCCAGTTCTGCTTTTTAAGGCATTCTTCTCCTCATTGACTTTTTTGATCTCCTTTACCATTTGACCTGTTTTTTAAGGAGCTATTTTCCTCAGTATTTTTTGTGTCTGATTTACCAAACCATTGACTCATTTTTGATGATTTTCTTGTATCTGTCTCATTTCTTTTCCCAATTTTTCCTCTCCTTCTCTTATTTGATTTTCAAAATCCTTCCATGTTATGAGACCAATTTATATTTTTCTTGGAGGCTTTGGATGTAGGAGCTTTGACTTTGTTGTTCTGTTGAGTGTGTGTTTTGATTTTCCTTGTCACCAGAATAACTTTCTATAGTGAAGAGTGTTTTTTCTCTTGTTTGCTCATTTTTCCAGCCTATTGTTTGACTTTTAATTGTTTGTTAAAGCAGGGCTCTGCTTCCAGGGTGGAGGGCATATTGCCTCAAGCTTCAGGAGTTTTGTGCAGCTGTTTTCAGAGATATTTTCAGGGAGACCTGTGAGTTTTCATAAATTCCTCGTCCAAACAACTTGGAAGGTCAGCAGGAAAGGTCTGTTGCACCAAGGTGAGAGAGGAACGTAGTTCAGATCAAGCCACGCCAGCACAGACCATGTCCCAGCAAACCTGGAACAGGTCTCAGAAGTGGCAGTTTCCAAATGTCTCAGCCCACAGACACCAACACAGCTTAGAAGGTCTGTTGTCCTTCATCCCCAGGAAACCAGAAGCAGGCCTGGGGAGTGACTGAATCAGCAGTGGCAGTGGCTACTTCCGAAGCTCTCAGCCCACAGATGGTAAGGGAGTCAAAGAACTGTCAGGAGGAGATTACTCACTGAGGCGAGACTCTGTTGCTTTGACCATATGTGCATAGGGTCACAGTCCTGGGAGGCACTCCCAGGGTGAGGAGGAATACTAGCATAGCAGAGCTTGCAGCCACAGTGGAGGAGAGACCCTTCTCACAGTTCCAGGGCAGAGAAAGAGTGCTTGTGGTCACTCACAGACCAGAGCATAGGCCAGAAGAGTGGTAAACACTTTTCCCATGGTAGAAGATTTAATAACTAGTCACTAGCCTTATAATAGTTACAGTTTTAGAGATGGTGGAATATACTAATGTTTCAGACAGTTCATATAATACAATTATGTTTTTTCTTCATCCTGTATGTCTGGCTTCTACTTTACACTTTCTCAACTGCCCACAGAATAACATAAAACCTGTTCAATATCTTCATTGTATCACTGGATATCCTCCAAACCACAGTCCTCATTGAGGGTCCTATCGCACTGTTGTGTACCTACGTCCCAGAAGCTGAAGAATCATATTCACTCATAAGTACCCTAGCAATTCACAATTTTTAATTAATTTTACATTTGAGTGTTACTTTGACGTATAACAGCAGTCAGGGATCATACATAGATCTAGAGCTGTAAGAGATCTCAGAGACCATCTAATTCATGAGCATGAGCATATTTTAGGCCAGAAAGAGCTAGTTTGAATAGGGTTTGAAGTGATTGCTTGAGTGAAATCCTAGCAGTGATAGGAGAAGATGGGAACAGGGGTGCAACACCTGAAGGCTTATTATTATTTGCTGTGAGTTGGGAGACATTTTCCTCTAAGAAAGCACTAGAGGAGACTATAGTGGGTGGTTACACTGGTTATACTGAGAGACTTTGAAGGGATTACTAATTTCTGTATTCAACATAAGGCATTTGGCCATGTCATTTGCTCTAATACGGAGGTGCAGGTGACAGAGGAGAGAGGAAAATGTTTGAGAAGAGAGAAAAAAGAACACTATAGGAAATGTTCTTTAGGTTTTGCACTTAAGTTATTTAATATGGTAAGTTATATATGTGTTTGGTTATTTTTCTCTGATAGCAAACACATGGTTATTTTTAATGAAACAGAAATCTATATATTTTGTTTTTGTGGGAGTTATTTAAAATTAAAACTTTTAAAAAAAATTATTTTTTCCCCTCAAATGGAGATCCTCTTCTGCCTTCCTTTTCCCTTCATACCCCTCCCTTTGGCACCCAGCTTGAGAAAGCAAGAAAAACAAAAACCTCAGCTACAAACATGTAAAGACAAGCAAAGCAAATTTCTGGATTAGTCATGTCCAAAAAATATGTCTTGGTCTAAACTCTGAGTCCATCACCTCTCTTTTAGGAGGTGGGCAGCATATTTTATCATGAGTCATTTGGCATTATGAATGGTCTTTGTGTTGATCAGAGTTCCTGACTTTCAAAGTTGATTGCCTTTACAATATTGTTTTTATTGTATACATTTTTCTCCTGGTTCCTTTCACTTCATTTTATGTCAGGTTATAAATACAAGTCTTTCCAGTTTCCTCTGAAACCTTCCCCTTCATCATAAAATGTGTTGTTTGTATTTTTTAAAAATAAGCAAGTGAAGTAAGAAACAAACATAAGGAATTTGTCAAGAAAAGCACTCTTCTTTCTATCATGGATTCTTTTTCAACCTGATTCTAATTTTAATTATAAGTTGACTTACACAAGTGACATTTAATGAAAGCACTTAAAAACTAATGGTTCTTACTGTATATTAGTGTTGAAAATGTGTATATTTTAAAAATTTTTCTATGTATTCACAGTTTACTCAATCTAGTTGAACGTTATTTATTTATGATTTTTCATAGCAATTAATTTGCAACTATTGAATGCCATTTTTTGGGAATAGGATGTGATGGTTGCTGGTGGAATGGAAAGCATGTCAAATGTTCCATATGTAATGAGCAGAGGAACAACTCCTTATGGAGGGTTAAGACTTGAAGATTTAATTGTGAAAGATGGACTAACTGATGTCTACAATAAAATTCATATGGTAAATGTTATTATGTATTTACTATGTAGTATAAAAATATGACTGATTTGTAGTATCTGTATTGAAGTATTTACCTATTTCATAAGATGTGTGGTAAATATTAATTTTAGGAGAAATATTTTTCATGTACATGTTGGAATCTTAGTTTAAATTTGATCCTGTTTTGTTGAGCTAGAAAGAACAAATATTCATACAAGTACATTTAACAAAAACCTAGTTACTACAAAATTTTTACTTTATTAGCTATTTGAAATATTTAATTTGTCAGTGTTACACCAACCCGGTGATCATTTTTAAAGTATCTGCTATGTAATGAAAATAATAATAACAACAAGAATCAACATTTATTTAAAGCATACTGTATGCCAGGCACTGTGCTAAGCGCTTTGCAAATATCTGCTTTGATTCTCACAATAGCCCTGTGAGGTAGGTGCTATTATTATCCATATTTTACTGGTGGGAATATTGAGGCAGAGTTTAATAGACTTGCCCAGGGTTACACAGGTAGTACGTGTCTGAGGCTGGATTTGAATTTAGGTCTTCCTGGCTCCAGGTCTGGTGCTGTGTCCACCCTGCCACCTAGCTGCCCCTAGAATAGGGGCACATCTACAGGATTTGGCAAGCATGATTGGATATAATAGTGGACGAGAGATTGAGGAGTTGAGGATTACACCTAGGTGTTAGCCTGGTTGACTGGCAGGATAGTGGTACTTTTGAATAGTAATAGAGAAGTTTGATAGAGGGGAGCATTTTGGGAGACAGTGGTTAGGGCTGGATAGATAGTGGATCTGAGAATCATATGAGAATCTATGTAGGGATGATAATTGAATCCATGGGAGTTGATGAAATCATCAAAAGAAATAGGATAGAGTTAGGAGAGAATAGAGCCCAGAACCAGGTACACCAATGGTTAATGGGCATGACCTGGATGCAGAATTCAGCAAAGGACAGAGAGGGGAGTAATCATATAGAGTCAGAGAACTAGGAGAGAGCAGTATCATGAAAACCTAGAAAGGAGAGTATTAAGAGAAGGGTGATCAACAGTGTCAGAGGTTGCAGAGAGATTGAGGAGAATAAGGATTGAGGAAAGGCCATTCATTGGATTTGGTGATAACTTGTAACTTTGGAGAGAACATTTTTTTAGTTGAATGATGAGGTCAGAAGCCAGACTGTAGAGAGTTAAAAAAGTGAGAGGAAAGGAAGTGGAGGAACCAAATGGAGATGGATGGCCTTTTTGCAAAGAATTTAGCCATGAAAGAGGGAGTAGAGATGTGGGACTAATAGCTAGTGGTGGTGGATGGTTCAAATGAGGATGGGGGAGAATAGGAATATTACGTAGTAGAGAAGCAGGGAGAGATTGAATATTAGTGAAAGCGTGAGGATGACAGAAGGGACAGCTGAAGAAGATGGAATGGAATGGGATCATTTGTGCATGTAGAGGGCTTTGCTTTGGCAAGGAGAAAGAAAAAGCTATGTCTTCATGAGACGATGGTGAAGGAAGAGATAATGATAGAAGGCAATGGATATGAAGAGAGGAAGGAGGGGTAAAGATGGAGCTTTTGGGGAATAGCCTGAATTTTTTTCAGTGAAATATGTAGCAAGGTTCTCAGCTTAGAGTATGCGCATAGTATGTGGAGGAGGGATGGAAAGGTTCAGAAAAGCTGCTGTGGAAAGCCATGGCAGTGAGAGAATGTAAATTTTGGAGAAAAGCGAGCCTGCAAATTTGTCTCAAACATAGAATTGTGAAGGGGAGTAATGTGAAATAAAACTTGGAAAGGAAGGCTGGAACCATACTGTAAAGGGCTTAACCCTTCTAGAAACTTTCTGTGATGTAGATGGTCTTCAGGACTTGCAGTGTCTTAAAATTCCATTATGCTCTGGCTGATGACATTAAAAATGTCTAGGTTTATTGAATTGTTTTAAGGTGGGCCATGAGTGATTAATTTATGTAGTTTAATTGAAAGCATGTTTTTGAGCAGTTGAAAATGTGAATTAATTGTTATCAGATGTTCTTCAAAGTATATACTAAAATAAATCTTTGTTTCTCCTTTTTTTATTATTAGGGTAACTGTGCTGAGAATACAGCCAAGAAACTTAACATTTCACGAGAAGAACAAGATGCTTATGCCATAAATTCTTACACCAAAAGTAAAGCATCTTGGGAAGCTGGAGTATTTACAAATGAAATTATTCCTGTTACAGTTTCACAAAAAGGTAGAAGCATAAATGTTTCCAAATATACTTAAACATAGTTCAGAGGCAGTATGATATAGTTGTTGGACTTGAAGTTAGGAAGAACTAGGTTCAAATCTTGCCTCTAACACTTAGTGGTTTTATGACTGTGAGCAAGAAACTTCATCTTTCACAGCCTCAAGCAACTCTCAAAGATGGGTTTTCAATAGTACCTCTCTAAGACAGGGACTTTACTTTTATTGATGTTTGATTGGATGCATTTTTTGCTTTTTGTTTTTTAGTTACACTCTCATGCCAGTCAAGAACAGATTCTTGCCCTCTTTAAGCTCAGATCTTGCACGATACACTGAAGTTTTTTACTTTGAATCTAAGTGGAAGTCAAATATATGAATATTCATTATGTTAATTAATCTAAGCCCCTAGTTGGATATTATCTTAGTAAAACAGATTACATATAACAAATTCAGGTTTAAGGTATGTAGGCTTATAAGGAAAAGTATTGTATATTTGTATATTAAGTTGCTCATGAAACAAATTTTTGATTCAAACATACTATATTAGAATGTCTGTGTGTTCATGGTTATTTTCTAACCTTATAGTTTTTATCTTTTAGGTAAATCAGACATAGTGATAAAAGAAGATGAAGAATACAAACGTGTTGATTTCAGCAGAGTCCCACAGCTGAAGACAGTTTTCCAAAAAGAAAATGGTTGGTTTTAAGAATTTAGCATCTTATTTCATAGAGTTTTTTCTTTATTTTTGAATCAAATTCAGCATTATAAGGGATGGGTAGCTAGGTGGATAGAACATCATCCCAGGAGTCAGGAGGACCTGAGTTCAAGTCTAGCTTCAGACACTTGACACTAGCTGTGTGACCCTGGGCTAGTCACTTAACGTCACCAAAAAATGTAATAGTACCAAATGGCAAATCTGTCAAAATGATGGCATAGAGAATTACACATAATCTCACCAGGACTAGAGAGTCAAGTAATATGCAAAAATGCAAAAGGGTGTTTGTTTTCTGACTCCTTTAGTATAAGGGAATCCTTCCTGGGAAGACATAGGGTTTCCCTGTTGACCTTTGCTTTCTACAACTGGGCTCACAGTGTCACACTCCCCCAATAAGCCCTTGTATGGGTACCCAGTTTATATCTAAGGAAAAGCCCATGGGCCAGCCACAGATGTCAGGGAAAACAACACCTTCATGAGTTTGGATGTTGAGAAGAACATGTAAAAATGATGAGAGTCAGATCAGTGCAAAGCTTTATTGTACGCAGAGAGAAGAGCAGAAAAGAAATAGAAAGGAGGGGACCCATTATACAACTCAGGCATATATTAACATGGAGTATAATCCATGTAAGGACAGTGCTGCGTTAGGGAGCAAAGACACACAGGTCCATTCAACAGGAGGAGGTGCTCCAGCAGGAAGGTGTGCTCCTGCTGGAGGGAAGAGGATACTCCAGTATACCCTTCTGAGGGTGAAGTTCTTATACTCTGATTTTGTGTGGCCCTTTGAAGCGCACCAATTTGCATATCAGGGGTCAGAGCAAAATATTATTTGGGAGGAGTTTGTTATCAGGGTAAAAACAGTCTGGTGATAGACAAAATGTTCTCTCTCTCCTTTCACCCTGTCCCTCCTCAAATGTTTTGCTTCTCACTACCTCCTCCCCTAATCTGCCTTCCCTTCTATCACCCCCCTTTTCTTATATCATCTTCCTCTCCTACTTTCTAATAGCGTAAGATAGATTTTTATATGCAGTTGATTGTGTGTGTTATTCTTAACTCTTTGAGCCAGTTCTGATGAGAGTGAGGTTTAAGTGTTCCTTGACACTTCCCCTGTCTTCCCCTCCACTGGAAAAGCGCTTTCTTGCTTTTTTGTGTGAGATAATTGATCCCATTCTGCCTCTTCCTTTCAGTCTGTCCTCTTTCTCACCCCTTAATTTTATTTTTTTAGATATCATCCCTTCATATTCAACTCACACCTGTGCCTCTCTGTCTATATATACTCCTCCTAACTGCCCTAGTAGTGAGAAAGTTCTTATGAGTTACAAGTATCATCTTCCCATGTAGGAATAGAAACAGTTTAGTTCCTTATGATTTCCCTTTCCTGTTTACCTTTTTGTGCTTCTCTTGAGTCTTGTATTTGAAAGTCACGTTTCCTATTTAGCCCTGGTCTTTTCATCAGGAATGTTTGAAAGTCCTCCTATTTCATTGAATATCCATTTTTTTCTCCTGAAGGATTATACTCAGTTTTGCTGGGTAGGTGATTTCTTGGTTATAAATTCTAGCTTTTTTGCCCTCTAGAATATCATATTCCAAGCCCTCTAATCTTTTATGGTAGAAGATATTAAATCTTGTGTTATGCTAACTGTGGCTCCACATACTTGAATTGTTTCTTTCTGGCTGCTTACAATATTTTCTCCTTGACCTGAGAGCTCTAGAATTTGGCTACAGTATTCCTGGGAATTTTATTTTAAGATCTCTTTTAGGAGGTATGGGGTGGATTCTTTCAATTTCTATTTCACCCTCTGGTTCTAGGATATGAAGGCAGTTTTCCTTGATAATTTCTTTTTTTTTCTTTTTTTAGGCAATTGGGGTTAAGTGACTTGTCCTAGGTCACACAGCTAGTAAGTGTCAAGTGTTTGGTCTGAGGCCAGATTTGAACTCAGGTCCTCCTGACTTCAGGGCTGGTGCTCTATCCACTGTGCCGCCTAGCAGCCCTGATAATTTCTTGAAATATTATATCTAGGCTCTTTTTTTTTTTAAAGGAAGTGTAATAATTTTTCAGTTATCATTCCTGGATCTATTTTCCAGGTCAGTTGTTTTTCCAATGAGATATATTTCACATTGTCTTCTATTTTTTAAAACATTTTTTGGTTTTGTTTTATTGTTTCTTGTTTCATAAAGTCATTGGCTTCTACTTGCTCCATTCTAATTTTTAAGAAATTATTTTCTTCAGTGAGCTTTTGTACCTCCTTTTCCATTTGGCTTAATTCTACTTTTTAAGGAGTTCTTCTCTTCAGTGATTTTCGTATGTCTTTTACCATTTGGCCTAGTCATGTTTTTCTTCAGTATTTTTTTTGTGTCTCCTTTACCAAGCTGTTCAATCTTTTTTCGTGATTTTCTTGCATCTCTCTCATTTCTCTTCCCAATTTTTCCTCTTGCTCTCTTGATTTTTTAAAATCCTTTTTTGAGCTTTTCCATGGACTGAGACCAATGCATATTTTTCTTCAAGGCTTTGGATCTGTAGGAGTTTTGACTTTGTTCTTCTGAGTGTGTGTTTTGATCTTCCTTATCACTGTAGTAACTTTGTATGGTCAGAATTTTTTTTTATGTTGTCTGCTCATTTTTCCAGCCTATTACTTGACTTTTAACTCTTTGCTAAAGTAGGGCTGTGCTTCCAGGATGGAGGGCACACTGTCACAAGCTTTAGGGGTTTGGGGCAGCTGTTTTCAGAGATACTTCTAGGGACCTGTAAGTTGTGGTATGATCTAAGGAGGGGTGTGTTTACTACTCTCCTGGCCTGTGCTCTTGTCTGTGAGTGACCCTAAGCATTCTTTTCCTCTGCCCTGGACCTGTGAGGAGAGTCCCTGCTGCACTGCTGCCACAAGCTCTGGTGTGCTAGTGCTCATCTTCACCCTGGGACTGCCATCCACAACTGCAGCCCAGATCCGAGTATGGGCCAAGCAACAGAGTCTTGTCCCCAGTGCCAGCAAAGAGACTTCTGTAATAATCTGACTAGTTGTTTGACACACACCCCCTCACTGTTTTTGGGCTGAGAGATCCAGAAGCAGTTGCTGCTGCTGTTGCTGCTGATTCAGTTGCTTCCAGAGCTTGCTTCTGGTTTGCTGTGGCCTGGGCTGTGCTGGACTGAACTCCATTCGTACCCTGGTATGACACATCTTTCCTGCCAACTCTCTAAGTTATCTTGGTTGGAAAATTATTTCACCTCATCCTTTTGTGGGTTCCAGAATTTATTTTGGGGAATTATTTAAAGTTGTTCAGAGGGATTTCAGGGAGAGCTCAAGCTAGTCCCTGTCTTTTCTCTGTCATCTTGGCTCTGCCCTCCTGTTTTAAAATTTAAGAGTTCATTTTCCTTACCTGAATTATTCTAGAAATATTATTCTGCCTTCAAACTCAAATTTATGGTTGACATCTGTTGATAATATGTTAACGCATCTATGGCATTTAGTTTTGAACTAACCTAATTTGAGGAAAAGGATTAGTACTGCTTTTTTAACATCTGTTTTGTAGCTGTGGTTTCAGTAGCAGAAAGTGAAATGCTTTCCTAGCAATTTGAATACTAGTAATTTGAATTTGCTTTTTTTTTTATGCCATTTTAGAGAAATTCAGTGTCCAGGAGTTTGTTCACTTTAGTTTTTTTATCTCACCATCACATTTGGTTTCATTGGTTTGTCATTAAGGGGGTTCAAAAATACCTCAAAATTAATCCTTTGGGGCAACTTGGTGGTGCAGTAGATAGAACACCAGCCCTGGAGTCAGGAGGACCTGAGTTCAAATTTGGCCTCAGACACATGACACTAAAGCTGTGTGACCTTGGGCAAATCACTTAACATTCCCCCACCAAAAAGCAAAAAAAAAAAAATCCTTTGACAACAGCACATTTTTGGTTTCAGTTTCATTTGTCTCTGATGTAGTTTTGGGTATTCAGTTTTGGTGCTTCCTCCACTACTGCAGTTTGTAATCCCTTTAGTATACACTCGTGGATAGTTTTTTTTTTTAATTAATAAGCATTTATTTTTCCTTTCCCTCCTTTGGAAAGAAAAAGGAGGAAAATCCTTCTGACAAACATATGCATAATCAAGCAAAAGTAAATTCCACATTGGTCATGTACAAAAATATGTCTTACTCTTCACCTTGTATCTATCACCAGTCTGTCAGGAAGTGGGTAGCATTGCTTCATCATCAGTTCTCTGGAATCATTGCTGACTAGTGCATTCATGTAAGTTCTTAAGGCTTTCAAAGTCTGTCTTCACAGTATTGTTAACACATAACAGAAAATTTTCCTGGTTCTGCTCATTTCACTCTACATTAGTTCATATGAGTTTTCCCAGGTTTGTCTGAAACCAGTCCCTGTCATTATATCTAATGAGTAGACAGTCTTCATGTGGCCATCCTTCTGGTCATGAGTCTTTGAACTTAGTCCTTTGATGATAGATACAGTTTATTGCCTAGCCTATAACCAAGAACTTTCTAAGTTAATCGTACATTGGAGGAGTACCTATATTCCTGGCACTTAACCTTTGAGAATCTAGGGTCACTTCCATGCCTCAGTGAGGCGTCAGAGCAGGACTTGTCGATGGGCAATTGCAGCTTCACAAAATTTATATGAAAACTGTGTTTATTACACAAGGAATGAACATGCATGTGGAATCCAAAGAGTTCACAATGCATACAGAAGTTTGCATGTTTATGACAGTATAACAAAGGGAGGAAACACAAATCTCCACTTAAAGGGGCATGATGTGGGAGGGGGGAAAGGTGCAGAAGTGGGAAGAGGACAAAACTCCCCTCGAAGGAGGGGAGTGAAGCAATGACAAAAGCCACTTTCTTTTCCCTTAGGAACTGCTAGACCATGAAGATAGGATGGTCTGCTTATGTGCAAGGGTCCCAGCTGCACAAACATATCTCAGTCCAGTGTAGACTGACTGGCACCTGTCTTGACTTCCAATGGCACACAGGGTGCCTATTCTGGGATGCAAACAATAAATTTTGTCAGCCCGGGGCGGGGCCTCATCCTTGACACACTCAGGGCCTCCTGCATACTCCAGTATGCAGGTTTGTGTTTGTGGAAATTATGGCAACTCAAAAAGACAAGTTTAGCAGACCTCTTAATATTCCTTAACAGACTTTAGAACAGGAACTTAAGAGTCTTGCTTTATTTATTCTGTCATGCACTGAAGAGTGTACAGTGTTCTTTGACTTTGTGCTCCTTGTCACTTTCAGGTACAGTGACAGCTGCCAATGCCAGCACACTGAATGATGGAGCAGCTGCTGTGGTTCTGATGACGGCAGATGCAGCCAAGAGGCTCAATGTCAAGCCACTGGCAAGAATAGAAGGTAAAAAACTTTATGTAGAGTTTGAGCTAACTTATGTTATGTTGAATTCATTGAGGAGAGATCAGGATGGAAAGTAAAAGGCTTGCTTTCTTGGCACTTTCCCAGCTACATATTAGCTTTGCTCTTCTCTTCCAGTCCCCTTGTTCAGAAAAGCTACAGAATTCAGTTCTGAGCCCATATCTGAAATTGTTTTTCTCCTTTAAGTTTCTAGGAATTAGCCCCTTTTGTTTAATCTAGCTTGAAGATATTGATGGTTCAGGTTGCATTTTGTGCTTCATCTTCTTGAAGTTCAACTTTAGACTTAGTGTGACAAAATTATGATTTGGAATGTTCTGTCTTTCAACTTGGACATTTAACATTGACTTCATATGTAATATTTTGTATTCTTTTGCACCAAGTAGAAATAAGCTTTAAAAATTTGATATAAACTTGGCTTTTTAGTCTTTTGTATAACATTTTTAACTTTACCTGTAATATCTTTTGAGTTTTAGTCCAGATGACACATCTAGCGACTTACTTTTCTAAATATTAGAATATAGTGGGTTATAATATTTACTTTTCTCAATAATCACAATTTAGAGGAGTATGCTGACATGTATTTTATAAAAGTTTGGCTCTTGGGAACCATTGATGGTAGTTATTGGCTATATTATCCATTCCAGTGGGAAAAAAACTTATATCAGTGATAGAAGATGTAGTATTTTAAAATCTTTATCTCTGATTTTTATAGCATTTGCAGATGCTGCTGTAGCACCTATTGATTTTCCAGTTGCACCTGCTTATGCTGTACCAAAGGTAAGAGCATGGGATAATGAATACTATACTTGAGTAAGAGTAGTAGTTATGCTTTCGGTTAATTATATTGCTACCTTAGGATATGATACCTTTGTAAAAATACATTTCTACTTTAATGCCTCTTAATGTCTTGCTGAATTATGTAGCAGTGATCCATTACAGTGTGTGTTCCTTAATTTGCCTAGTGCCTCTTTGTCCTGGCCATTTTATAATTTCACATATGCACACATATATGAAATATATTACAACACCTCAATTTCTTCACCCATAAAGTAGTAACCAGTTTTTTTTTCTTTTTAATCCCTATAAATTTTAAAGTTAAAAAAATAAACTGAATTCTGCCTTTTATTTAGACTATACCCTTGATAACTATTAGTTTTTTTGCAGAGGGCTTTGTTTCTGTTATCATAGGGATACCACTGTATATTAATTCTTGGAAGTAAGTCAGTTGTCTTCATTGAAAGGCATTATGAAGAACACAAAAAGAGGAGTTTTAAGACCATTAATCTTAAAGTACTTTAAGAGTATAGGTGTTGCCACAATTGGGCAAATTGTTTTGCTTTGTACCCTGTTTCTTAAAGTATAAAATTGGGCTAATAGCACTTGTGTGGATCAAGTGAGGTAATATGTCTGTAAGTTCTTCGTAAAATGTAAAGTGCTATATAAATGGAAGGCATTATTATTTACTTTATAGATTATGATCTTTTATATCTACAGTTCTGAAAATCAGTTATTAATTATCTTGAAAATTTTAATTTCAAGTTCATTTCACCCCTCTTCCCAGCTTATTTATTTTTTTGGCTGTTGGCTTCTGCCTTCAGATAGTATATACCTGTATAGTATATAGGGAATGAAAATGAATTTGAATGTTAGCTTAAGCCATGTATCACCAGGCAGCTTAAACCTTTTGCCTAAAGGATAACACAGTGTATTTAAAATAGTAAGATGATGAGGTTAGTTTCTTGGCCCAAAGTCATACACCTAGTACATGGAAGAGTTGGGATTTGAATTCATGACCTCTCATACTAAATTCAAGATAGGTAAGAACTTGGTAAGGAAATTATTTTACAGGATCCCTAACTTCATTGATAAGGATCTTTATTTCACTGAAATGAAAGATCATATACTTACTGTCTTACTTATTATTAGTACATGGTCATTTTAAGTTGCTTTGGCCAAAAAAGTTAACTCTGTAGGTCACCTTGTGATGAACTTCTACAGACTTAGTAGAGGGGGCAGGTAGGTGGCACAGTGGGATAGAGCACTGACCCTGGAGTCAGAAGGACCTGAGTTCAAATTTGGCCTACAACATTTTACTAAGCTGTGTAACGTTGAGCAAGTTGCTTAACCCTGTTTACCTAAAAACAAAACAAAACAAAAAAGAAAGAAAATGAAGGACAAACTTAAGTAGAGCTGGTTTTTAGCCAACAAACGTGTAGTTGTACATATGCATATTTGAAAGGATAAAAAAAGGGATTGTGTAGCTGAAAATAGAATAATAATAGGAAGTCCATTGCAAGGTTGCTGCTTGAATCTTTTGTAGTTTGGGAAGGTCCTGCCAAAGCTTGTATCTTAGAGAGTGATGTCGTTAAAGTAGGACTTGTAGTGGGGGGAAGATGTTCCCTTTCAAAAATAAATCCCAGACACATTTATTTACATGGGCTTCTGACATAGTTTTCCCCTAGACTGTTTTTGTTTTATGCCTCTTGAAAAGTTGTATGAATGACTCCAGGCATTTCTTAATATTCATGCAATTTCTTCACCTTTAATTTGGAACTATTTTGTAATTATCTTTCAATATATTCTCAGCTCTCAAGTGACTCCAGGTTTCTGGATTGTAAAATTGTTTCAGCCTTTGCTTTGTACACTGACTGTGTTAAGTAAGTCTAGTTATAGGACACCTGCTTTAATGCCTACAATTTTCTTTCATTGTTTGGAGCCAAGGAATGAATGTCTTCAGTTTTGCTTGGGCAAAGAGTGAAAAGACTCCTTTGGGTTGTAAATCCATAGAAATAATCAGAGTAAATTTTGGTTTCATTACAATTCTAGGAACTAAAATTATGATTTCTCCTTTGATAATTATCATGTTCTAAGCCATCACTTAGCAAGTTGCATACTGTTAAAACTTTTTTAAAAATTTGGTGATTTTATTGGGATAGGGACCTTTTAGTGAGCAACTATTTTTCCCAATGCAGTTTTGGCACCTGGCCTGTATAGTATCAGAGTATCAGAGTATTGCTGGGAGCACTGATACATTAAATGACTTGTTCGTGGTCACACAACCATTATGTGTCAAGAGTCCACACTTGAACCCTCCCAGTGTTTGTGAAGCTGAGGCAAGCTTTATGGACTAGGCCATACTGCCTCTCAAAACTATTTTAACAAAGACAAATTAGAGCAAAATATGCCTATTTAAAAACTCAAAGTTCAAATATGAATGCATAAATTAAGATCTTATGGCTTGCCAAATCATTTGAATTTGTGATAATTTGTTTTCAGCTTCTCAAAAATTCAGGATTGAAAAAAGACGATATTGCAATGTGGGAAGTAAATGAAGCTTTTAGTTTAGTTGTATTAGCAAATATGAAGATGTTGGATATTGATCCCAAAAAAGTGAACATCGATGGAGGTGCTGTTTCTTTGGGACACCCAATTGGGTAGGTGAAATTATCGTATAGAACACATTGTTTTGTGTTTGCTTTGCATATTCTTGGTTAATTTGTTTCATTGTTTCTAAGATTTTTTGCTAACCATTTGACAAGTTAAAATGCTAAGCTGACAAAATTTAGGTGGATTTATATATTTGTGATTTCTTCTTTGTTAGTGGGATTAATATTTGCTGTCAACAATAATGACTGAATAATGAGGATTTTGCTTCCAGAAAAATATGGAATGCCTAAATAAAATAAATAATGGTTGTCTTTGTGCCATTGCCAATTGTTATGTTCAAAGTAAAGTAGAGGTTGGTCTTCCTTGTAAAAGGAAAGGCAAAAAGGCTTGAGAACAACTCTTCACTGTTTAGGTTATTAGGGAGAATTAAATGTTGTTTGGAAAGAAAAAAAAAAGTTTCAAGCTATATAAGAACATGATGCTAAAGAATCAAAAGGGAAGTCATTCCCCAATTGATAAATGGTCAAAGAACAGAAATTAAAGCTATCTAGCCATATGAAAAAATGCACATCAAAACAACTCTTGAGGTACCATATCACACCTTTCAGACTGGCTAACATGACAAAACAGAAAAATGATATATGTTGGAGATGTGGGAAAATTGGAACACTAATGCGTTGTTGGTGAAGTTCTGAAATGATCCAGCCATTTTGGAGCACAATTTGGAACTATGCCCAGAGGGCTAATACCCTTTGACCCAGCAATAGCATTTCCAGGTCTATATCGCAAAGAGATCCTACAAATGGGAAAAGGACCCACACATACAAAAATATTTATAGCAGTTCTTTCTGTGACGGCAGAGAACTGGAAATCCCCAATTGCCCATCAGGTGGGGAATGGCTAAAGAAGTTGTGGTATATGAATGTAATGGAATATATTGTGCTATAAGAAATGATGATCAAGCAGACTTCAGAAAAACCTGGAAAGACTTCTATGGACTGATGCTGAGTGAAGTAAACAGAATCAAAGAACATTGTACGCAGTGACAGCCACGTCGTGTGAGGACTGACTTCAATAAACTTAGCCCATCTCAGTAATGCAAGGATCTAAGACATCCCCAAAAGTCTCATGATGGAAAATGCTATCCACATCCAGAGAAAAGAACTAGGGAGTTTGCAGATCGAGGCATACTTATTTGCTCTTCTTGTTTCTTTTGTTTCTTCTTTCTTGTGGTTCCTCCTATTGGTTCCAGTTCTTCTTTACAGCATGACTAATATGCAGTGTTTCATAGGAAGGTACATGTAGAGCCTATGTCAGATTGTATGCCATCTTGGGGAGGGAGGTGTGGAGGGAGGAGCAGAAATTTTTAAAACTCAAAAGCTTATGGAAATGATTGCTGAAAATTAAAAATAAATTAATTTAAAAAATTAAAAATTAAAAAAAAATAGGCAAAAGGGAATCCTAATCTAACTCGAGAACGTGCAGGTGTGGAAGAATTTTGTCCACAACTCAAATACAAATGTGCATAAATTTATCTTAGCATAGACTACAAAGGAGGAAAGAAAGGACCCCTGAATATTAAGACCTAAGTATTAGGGAGGGATCTGGAATATCTGAGAAGGAAGCCGCTGCTTATAACTTTGAAAAATGATTGTGTGTATCCAAAGGTTGCATCAGGGGAGAGGCCATTCAAAAGGAAAGGAGTAAAGGAAGAAGGGCTAAGTAGTGCTAGTTGGTGACTCTGTGAGGGAGAAGTGCTTATCTAATGTTAACAACAGGGAAGTCTTCTCTCTTACCATGACATACATCCAGGATGTGACTGAGATCTACTTAAATACCTGTTAAGCATGAGTGACCACTACCTGCTTCTGGTGACTCATTTTAGGAAAAATGATAGTTAAGAAAGAACTTAGAAAAAACCCAGCAAATATATACAGTGTACATTTGTAGACCTCTCACTTCTGCAAAAGGTTGTGGTGGGAGTATCTTCTCATACATGTTTTTTCTAGTCATGCTTGTTCTTTATAATTTTGCAACATTCACTTTTGACTTTTTTGGTGGCTAACTACAATTATTCTTGGCTCTTCATCAGTTCATACAGTTCTTTCCATGTTTGTATTCATCACATTCATAATTATATTCTATTTGTGTACCACAATTTGTTTAGCCTTTTCCTGAATTGATGAGCATCTACTTTGTTTCTAATTCTTTGCTATCATAAAAAGGTCTTCTATAAATATTTTGTTGCATGTAGGGACTTTATTCTTTCCTATGGTCTCCTTGAGGCATAAGCCTAGTAGTAGAATTTCTGGGCCAAGGGATATGGCTTTTTCAGTCACTTTATTTGCAAAGGATTCTTGTTCAGGAATGGGGTTCGTTTAGATGGCCTCTGAGGTTCTGTTGGTAGAAAAATGGAATTACTTTCCTTTTTACTTTGAAACTGTTCTTATATTCAACACATTTTTAGACTTAGCCTTCCCCTCCTTTGTGGGCAACACAAAAAATACTAGAGATATTTTATTCAGATGCGTAGACACTTACCTGTCACTTCCCCAAATAATAGCTTTTGTACCTTAGAAAGTTCTAAAATTTGTGAATTATGTAATCCTGTATATGAAGAATGAAAACTTTTTTTTCCTTTTAAATTCTAGGATGTCTGGAGCAAGAATTGTTGTTCACATGGTCCACGCCTTGAAACAAGGAGAGTATGGTATTGCAGGAATTTGCAATGGAGGAGGTGGTGCTTCTGCAATACTAATCCAGAAGTTATAGAATGATGGAGCAAGTACCCTCACCTGTATTTGTGATCAGAAGAGATCAACCAGTTAGTTAATAGTTTAAGGGTTTGAAAAGGGACTTTTCTGGATGCTGAACATATGTGTATGTGTATATATGTATAGCATAAATAAACAGTTTTCTTGTCATCAGATTTGATAATCTTAAGACATTTTTAGCTAAAAAAGGGATCTCTCTAAAGCCTTTTTAGTTTCTAAGAAGATGATGATCTTGGGCATGACTGTTGAATTGAAAAGTATTAAACTTTAAAACGGATTCATACTTTTCAAAATTCTGCAGTACCACAGTGGTGGGAGCACGGATGAGTGTTTTCCAAAAAGCCCCGAGTTTCTTTCTGATAAAAAATGGATGTGAACTGATCTTTAGACTTTTTCTTAACTTTTCACTATGTGACATATATATGGTCAAGCAATTAATACAATTATTAGTCTTCATCACTGATATGTCTTCTGTAATTAATTTTCAAGAAATTGGACCAGAGTCAACAGTGTTTCATTAGAAAGTTGATAGCAAATCCAGCCTACAGTTTAACTTCCTCTGAGACCTAGCTCTGTATTAAATACCATTCTTAAAGTCTTCTCTAAGCCAAACCTGGGGGCAGCTAGAGCGCTAAGCCTGGAGTCAGGAAGACTTGAGTTCAAATTTGTCCTCAGACATTTACTAGCTCTGTGACCCTGGGCAAATCACTTTAACCCTGTTTGCCTCAGTTTCCTCATTTGTCAAATGAGCTGTAGAAGGAAATGGCAAAACACTTGTGTCTTTGTTAAGAAAATCCCAAATGGGGCAGCTAGGTGGCACAGTGGATAGAGCACTGGCCTTGGAATTGGGAGGACCTGAGTTCAAATCCAGCCTCAGACACTTGACACATACTAGTTGTGTGACCCTGGGCAAGTCACTTAACCCCGATTGCCTCCAAAAAAAAAAATCCCAAATAGGGCTATGAAGAGTTGGACAAGACTTAACAACAACAAAGGAGATGTGGACTTGAGTATCTTTACTTGTTTCTTTGGCCTCTCATGCACCCTGCTGCAATAGTCTAGGTGAATCCTAATGTCTCTAGTTCATACCCATGATTTTTTATATACATTTCCAAGTATATACATATTCTAGTGGCTTTAACACTAAACAGATGCTTTAGTTCTTATATGCAGTTAATAAACACAGCCTTGCACATTTAAAACTCATTAGGTCTGGGAAGATTTATGGTGGTCATTTATCTTCACCGGTGGTATGCAGCAGTTATGTATAGTCCTCATGAACTAAGCCAGTGCTTCCCAAATAGTATACTGTTTGTGGAGTACTGGCACTTTAATAAAGACTTCTTACCAAATATCCTTATCTAAAAACTGATTCCTTTTCCTTGCCTACTTCTGAGGTGATCCAAGCCACCAGGGTAGAGAGTTGGGAAAGCTAGGAACTTTTGCTAGTTAGAAATAGAGTTCTAATTTGCAAACAGCAGTCTGGATTCTACAACATTCAGGAGATTACTGGTAAAATAAGCTATAAGGCATAACAGAATATACACAACACTACTTGGGCATGAGGCTATTGTATGAAAAGGTGAAAGGAAGTTAGAATAAAGAGTATGATACAAGGTGTCCCAAAAGTTTTAGTGCAACTTAAAATATAAGATTTTTGGGACATCCTGTATTCTTAACTCTAAGGCATTCTGTAAACTGACCTTGCCAGTCAAGTTGCTATGTTTAAAACCAGGCTGTGAGCTTTGTCTCTACTATAAAGTCTGTTGCTTCCAGATAGAACAATAAAAGCATATGTTCAGAAGAAACCAGGTGTCAATAAATAATAGTCAAACTTGAAATTAACCAAAATATTTATTCAAACCTAACAGTGATGCAGTATCAAGTAATGCAGCTTATAGAAACAGTAACTGCATAATATTTAGTTCCTCAGGAATATTACCACTGCCACATCAAACAAATTTTTTACAACACAAAAGTCTGAAGTAAAATTTGAACATGACAAAGCAATTAGTGCCAGTGAAATAAATTCAGCAAACGGTTACCAGACAGCGAATGGATTTTATGGCTCAGTATAGAACATAGTTGAAGAAAGCTGCATTAATGTTAATATTGGACAGCCCTGTAGGGGCAAAAAATCTATATGGTTTAAGTCGAACCACAACAGGAAGCACTTTAGAGAATGCACTTTTTACAAAAATCAGTAATATCCAGGCACAATAGGTTAAATGCTTAATTAAGATTTTGTTCTCGGGTAAAGGTTTAAATTGACTCTTCAACTTGACAGGTTGTATTACAAACAAGGAAGATAGCTCTCTAATGCTTTCTCTATATAGCTAGGAAGGTATGGAGACAATACATCATTGAAATGACTTGTGGATATCTACACATGTAGACATCTAGCACTGAAACAATTTAAGGAAAAAGAGAAAAAAAACCAGTATAATAGTTTACTTTACTAGTTATCTAGTTATCTTGGAAAATATCATCTAAATGGATGTGGTTCTGTAAGATAAATGCTAAGAAATAAATCTCAACGCACAAGCTCTCAATATTGGATATAAGATTTAAATAAATGAGATTTGGCCACTAGATTGAAGACTTTTCTGAATTAGTGCAATTTTAAAAAAGCCCCAGTATTTTTTGGGGGTGGGGGGTGGGAAGATATATACATTTCTGGGAAATTTCAACTACAAAAGCAAACTTTATATGGCTCAATAGTCTAACCATTTAAGGTTTTGTAAAAATCTACACACAACAGATCAAAACGCTTATTAAATATCTTATAAAATTCTCCCTCTCTAAGAGACTAGAATGATACCCATAAGGGATATTTAAAGCTCTTGTTTCTCTCTCTTTTTTTTAATTATTTAAAAAAATAATCAGGAATATAACCTTTACCGTGATAATAAGGAGGGACAGAGAAACACTTAAAAAAAAACTATCAAATTCTTATTCTAAGGCCTTACCTTTCATCTGTTTAATGACTAAGTCTTAGAAATGTCTTGTTAAGACTCACTACAATCACTTTTTAAAAAAAGAATTAAATGAAACTATTCTAAAGGACAAACCTGTTGAATTGGGAATAGACTGGTAATTAAACAACAAAAAACCAAAACCAAACCAGGCTTTTCAGAACATCTAGTTAATTGAAATTCAATTTCAATACAATTTACACAGTATTTACAATATGCAATTGTTGTAGCTGTACAGTTTTGCAGATTAATGGCTTTACACTTCTGCAAGTGCTTTTTCCAAAATAAAAATATACTAAATCAAGTCTATTTACAAACTAGCAAGCTGCTTTAGAAACAGCATGACATAGCTATAAAGTGTAACTTCAGTGCACTGAAAGTGCAGTTCATGCTCTCAGATTGTTATTTTTTCCTACTTATAGTAATATGGACACCAATCTTAAATTGCTAATGTTCTTAATAATTTAGAGTTCTTATTCATCATAATGCAAAGACAGCAAAAACTTGTCCACGTCCATTCCAGCAGGAAATGAATTAGGTAGCTTCTTTTTCTGTTGAGAGAAGAAAATACTATGTCAACATCAGATTCAGTTAAACACAATGGATTAATCTCAGCCTTCCTCTTCAGTGTCCTATGTTTGCCTTTTCCAAATATCAGAAAGATGCTAAATTACAATAAGTAGTTTTGTAGTTATATAAAAATAAGTACAAGTTTATAATTATTTTATATAAAAATTTCATATAGTAATATATATAATTTTTTGAATTCTAAATGAACTCATTCTACTCATAATTATCATTAGCTATGGGACTTCTGAGAGTTGTTTCCTTGCTGTAAAATGGGGATAATATTCCCTGTATTACCTAATTATCTCAGAGTGTTTGTGAAGAAAGCACTTTGTAAGAATTACAATAGTCACTGCTACTTTCTCTATAAGAAATGATTCCCCTGTGTATGTATGTTAAACATTACAGATCTGAATTTTAAAATCACATGAAAGTATTTCTCACAGAGCATTTTTAAAAAGTTGTTTTTATCACTGGTGCTGAATGATTTAATTTAGGAAAATTGGAAATAAAATAATAAATAAAAATAAAATTGGAAATACCATCTGTGTACCTCCTTTCTAATACAACGGCTAAAATAAAGTTTTAGATAAATGGATTTTTGAAGGAAGTAATGTACCACTATTATGACCTTTTTCGGGTAAAACTTTTTTGATAGCAAAGTGGAATTTAATGAGTGTAAGATAATTTATTTACATGGACAGCATACAATAAGTTATCAACTGGATAAATGAACAAATGGATATGGAAATCAAGATTATAAGGTGTCAGAAAACTTAAGTCTCAATCCTACTTCTACCTATAGTAACATATTTGATGAATGTAGAAGGTATTATGTGCATTTAGCATGTACTTATTAAGATAATGATCAGCCAGATAAATGGACATCAGCAAGCAAGGGAAAACTATTTAATTTGAGCCTCAAAGAAAATGAAGCAATAAACTTTTAAAAACCTTTCAGACTTGCCTTAATTTTCTTCTTTTTTATTGGCACCGTTGAATTTGGAAGATTTTTACTGGAAGAACGGGCAGTTCGGTCACGCTCATCTAAATCTTCTAGTTTCCTTTTTTTGTTGGCACTCCTTGAAGACCTAAATTGCTGTGTATTATCTTTGAGAGGTTTTGAAGTAGTCCTTGAGATAGCAGCCCGTGAAAGAATCATTAAAGTATGGGCTGCCATGTTCACACTATTTTCACTCCCTGTTTCACTGGCAGGGCTACAGGCTGGTAAATCTGGAGTGGCAAGAGGGACCATTCCTTTGGGAGTGCCACTCTCATCACTGTAACGTCTACTGGTGGGAGTCTGGATGCTGTCACAGGGTTCTTCTCTATGTTTCTCCACAGTTCCTGATCCTGGTGTCCGAGGCACAGGTAAATCGCCAGTACTGGGAAGTCTATTTGTTGGGCTGTGCCAATGAAGGTCATGTAATTTTTCTACACTGCTTTTAGTTAGAGGGCTGGCAGATTTATTAGTCTGTTCTCGTTTTAGCTCCTTTGAAGCTGTCCCTGTTGAAACAGTGTTTTTACTGTTAGAAGATGGCCCCTGTTTTTTGGTCAGTTCTTGAACGGAGGCAGTAGTTTTCTCATTCCACAGAGGACCATTCTGATGCCCG